CTAACGAGGTTATTAGGGGAATGTAAATTTATAAAAGGAAAACATACTTCATAAACGTTCGAGATATTAACTGCTTTGCCAGTTTGCGCAACCCATCCGACGATGCCAACACCAAATGGCAACGAAACGCTCTTTGCCTCCGACTTTTTCAAACTCTCTGCTAGCGTACACTTTGCTGTTACGTCAAACAACTTGCTCACGAGAATTCGGTCTCCAGTTGAGGCATTAACTTCGACCATAAAGAGGGAGGATCGATCGGCATTTAAAAGTAAACATGCATTTCGAAGTATTTTGAAACATAGAGATGGCAAATCAGAATCATTCCAAATATCAAGAACCAGTTCCTGCATAAGGTCACTGGAATATAGTTCTGCAAAACTATCTGCAAGGGCCTGTCTTCCCTCTTCTCTTTTTTCTTTGCCAAATCTACTATTAAAGTGAGAAAACGTTTCGTTCGATTCTGATTCAGTAGGTGGATCCTGAAAACAGGGCCTAGGCGACGTAACGTACGACAATGGCAAGGAAGCAAGAAATGATTGATATCCATCAGAACCAGTTGCTAAAATCGGGTGGAACGCCAATTCTTCAAATTCACTGCTGTTTATTTTGCGAATTGGTAATTCCGTGTGTTTGGATTGAGATAAACTAAGGGAATTTATTCGCGAAAAGCAGTGCTGAGACGGATGAAAGCTTTTTGACTTTTTTAATGAAGCAGCTAGCATGATGTCGTCCACGACATTTTGAGATGCATGTGAAAATATATAATTCCTTAGGATATTTGGATTGTTATCCATCCATGTGAATATGGCTTTTTCAGTTCTTTCTGTAGTTTGCTGCATACCTGAGCTGCAAAATGGACAATCCATGTTGGGCGGAGTTGGTGATAGGTAATACACGCCCTTCCGTTACTCGCACAATCTCGGAAAGCGCATTTACTTAAGAGTCCTGCATCCGTCAAGGTCGAATGTGGCCTAATAAAACAAATGATTTGAACAAAGTTTTAATCAAAGCAAAAAAGGGAATCGATTTAACAAAAGAGTAAAATTTAAACCAAGAGTATAAAATCAAACACTCTACATGCATGGAGATCTCTATATTAATCCAAATGGGCTCGTTAATAGCATTAACATAATAGCCCTAACCATGATAGCACTAACACAGCGACTTGTGTAAAAAATCTTTTGAATCACTGTGTCTAAAGTGAGTATGCTGACAACCATGTAAGTGGAAGTGAGCCCGCATGATTCACAATAAATGACAGCAAAATAAACTAGTGCTTGTAACAAGGGTTATATATTTAATCGATTAAAATATAAAGTTACTTTTTTAAATGGTGATGTAATTACACAAATTAGCTTATCTTTTTTGGTTTACTAATGCAAGATGAGGCAATTAACTCTAATGCGGATATTCGTACCAAGCGCTTACCCACCCACTCCGTTTCCTAAGCCTCTCCAAGATATGTATCATAGCGATCTAGCTGATTGATTTGCTGTCGAAATTCCAAAGCAATAAAGAATTCTACAATTATTTATTTGTCACAATTAGCATTTAGTTTGACATTTGTAGTCGTGTATTAGGCCTTAGTCATTATCCCGTTGTCATGAGAAATTCAAGATTTCGAGTAATAAGTATTTTTTGAATAAAGTCGCCCTCACGTATATGGCACCCTATAGGTCACTGCTGAATCTATTAAATTTCTCCTTATTGAAACAAATCGCTACTGCTTTAATTGTAAAATTATTATTATTAACGCGACTTTACATGCGCGCTTCAGCAGACATTTTTATATATAACTATCATTTCAAACAGTGAAATCGTTGAATAAAATAGTACACTTTCCATTACATTATAAATGCCTTTAGTTTTTCTACAATTTAATCCTTTCAAAAAATACATGGGTCCTCCGACACCAGTTTCTACAGAAGGCATTACTTAGTTTAAGCAAATTTGCAAGCCATGTAAGATTTTCTCACAATTTTTCTAATTGTGAATAACCTACCGATCCTAAATATCGAATTGTTACATGCGATGTAATTCAACATCTATTAAACCTCTTTTTATAGCCTTTAAGTATAAGACATTTCATTAACTTCTGTTTGGCGACCGTTTTAGACTGCTGTCGACCTGCCAAATTTATGCTGACTCTAATTACTAGCACAGAGCATTACTTCATTTTTGGTCCATTCCTGTTTATAACTAAATTTTTTGGTTTGAGTTCTGTTTTGAGTACCTGTTTGATTTGCTTTTGAATATTCGACTCAAAAACCATGTGTCTGAACTGTCAGAAGTCTTGGTCATCATGAACTACTCCACTGACTGTGAGGCCGATATTATATTTATTTTCATGGACAATAATTGGTCTCATTGAATCATTTAACTCTGTTGGCCAAGTAATCAGTCGTATCTAGTTCTGCAGTTGACAAAATAAAACATATAACTACGTATTTCTTGCTTTGTTCAAATTGCTTGCGAATTTGGTTGAATCTTTAAATTTTTGATAAAAAATGTTTTTTGAAGGAAAACCAACTAACAGATTGGATTAATGGCTCCTTTTATAGTTTTGATAACTCTAAAATTCAGAAAAATTGCAAAATATTTTCTGATTTATAATGCAGCATACTGAAAGACTTTTGGTCTTAGTATTAAGACATAAAAATCGTTAAACCAAGTGGTAAATAAGCACGTTTCAAGCAGGTAGCTTGTAACTTTCCTATTCCCTTGTTAGCGGGCATTTTTTGTACATTATACCATTAACTGATTTTACAAAATTTTGCGCGCTTAGGTGATAGATTAAGGTGCACATTCCTTACGTGTTTTAATATTTTGGTAACATTTGCAGCTGTCAAAATGAGATCGTAAGACTTCGTCTACATTTCCTATTAAAAAAACTACTTCTTCTAGAATTCACAACCTACCATACTTAATTTTCTACGAAACAAAATCCTAAGCTCCGTATTCTGCTTTAATTAAATGAAATGTGACTAGTGCGCTCTCTGTTTGATGATCAACAGATTTTAATTAGTACGAAAAAAGCTAAATTTAACACTGGAATCAACAAGCATCACAACCACAACTGTTAATGGTTGCATGTCGACAGTTTAAGCATGAGTAAATTAAGTTCACTGTCTTAACTTTTATTGACAGCCAAGTAATTACCACACATTCTCAGTTTCCGCTGCATGAAACAATTCAGCCGTAAATTTTATTTAAAATTGCACGATCATAGCCCTGAAGCTTCTACACGGCTTTCACGACTTTGAACTTTACCTAACTGATGAGAATTTTGAACACCTAAATACTGTTCAGGGAGCACAATTCATAAAAGAAGTTGTTTCACTGTTGAATAAATGTTAACCATGTACTTCCAGCTGCTCGATATAGATTTTATTGGAGATAAAGTTAATTTGCTGTGCGTCTTCTGGGCAGGTAAAAAAATGCCTTGTTTGTTTAAAAACTAAACCGAATTTTTTCAGTCTCTTACAAATAACCTTTGACTGCTCAGATATTTAATTTTATAATTTAAAATAGACGGCTGTGCTGTTAACATTAAGAAAACAAAAATCATTACGTCACAACCTAGTATTAGGACTGGGTAGTGACAATGACCACGCTTGGTGTTGCAAATACACATCGTTTAAGGTTGTTAAGTCTTTCGAAAAAAGTGCAAAAGCTGGATTTTTGATATTTCATAGAGGTGTGTCAAGTGATGTCTTTCAGAATCAATAGAAGGCGAAACCTAAGTACTGATTTTGCGTTAAGGGGAAATTATGAGTGAGAACCAGCTTTATGGTACAAAACATGAATCTGAATGGACAGTAAACTCACTTGCACGAGGCTCTGGTTGTTTTTTAGCTGTATTTAGACAGACTTTCATACTGATTGGCTGTTAAGAAGGCATACGGGAAATTTTGTAAGCTAAATTCGTGCTCCTTTATTTCTCACTTGCAACATTAATTTAGTTGTTCATAAAAAAAAATAAAGGGTTTTCTGAGTCCTTTACCGTTAGAGGTTAAATGCCGTTTTGATGACTCGTAAAATTGGTCTCGAGGGTCTAGGTCTACTAACGTTTGCGGTAATTGGATAGAAAACTCTTCTCTACCAATCGACTTACTATATTAACCAATGCGACAACCAATCAAGTGCGAGGGACTTGGTGGCATGCTGTGCGTCCACATACCTAGCGTAAATTCAATCATCTTTTCAAGAGTTTCTCTATTTACCTCGTCCACTGACGTTTGCTGGTTGCCTAATATGGATTCGATTCTTCTTTACCTCGACTAAGTAAGGTAGCGTATTCTGGACAGTTTGCGAATCAAGTTTATTTTTGGCTTGAATGTCATTGGTTACCTTTCATTAATAGTCCGTTTAAATATTAGTTGCTGTGTTATTTAAGGCCAAAGAGATGCCAGCAACTCGTGATTTTTCAGTTGAATTATGAGGTTGTGTCCAAAGATGGTGTTAAAAAGTATCAACGAGATAAAGCCCCAAAGATTCTGAACAGCCATTTAAAATTTCTCCTATTAAAACTTTACAAAAAACAATCCCAGTTTCCTAAAAATGACTACAATAATTTTTTAAAGCGTTTTTTGATTAGCTGTAGTTTCAAAGTATTACTAAGAAGCATCCAACCTAACGTTGCAACTGCGGCCACTTTAGATCTTATCCAAACCACGAAAACTGCATAATACTGCTCAGTGATTTTGGATAGAGTCCGAACAGAATTTTGTGACATCTATATTAAATTTGTGCGTTCAGACAATTTTCAATGATTTAATAAAAAGTAGCTTTTGAGTTTTAAACCATCCAAAATAGTTTGTCATTCAACCTTTTTAGAGGAATACCTCCACAATATTTAAGGCTTTTTTGAAATTGACTTGGTATTTTTTTTTTAATTCTGTCGTCCGCATTTAAAGCGCCAGCCGGGCAAAAACTTAAGCCAAGGTTGAGCTCACAGTTATGTTTTTAAACAATGGTTTATCTCATTTCAGGTAATCGCAATGTCTTCGACGATCTCCAAACACCACTCCGGCCAGCTTTGTGGGCCCTATAAAAGCAAGTCACTTGGCAAAAACTATTATGAAACAGAGCGAGACGGCACGAGTTCAGGTATTTCCTCATTTCAGAAGAAGATGGAAATAATATCGGCGTGCACGAAAGCAAGCCCTGTTTCGCAAGAATTAATTTTACTTCCCGGTAACTTAACAATTACGGCTAGTAAACAAAGCCTTTTTGCTCATGTCAGGGACTTCGGTTCGAATCACTCAGATGTACCGAAGAACCTAAAGTACGCAAGGCTGCTTCACATGAGAAGACCCAAACACAATATTTGGCTAGATGAAAATATCCTCAAGGTTCTTTTTCAACATCTACGACAGAGAGATTTATTGACTTATTCGGTAGTTTGCAAACAATGGCGAGAACTTTTCGTTGCCAACTTTACGGAGGGTCTAAGGTTGGTGATAGACTTCAAAAGAATCAGCCCGTTGAAGGGCACTATCCTGGAACAGCAATTACGGCTGGCTTATCGATGGAAAATAACCACTCTTGCACTGGTCAATATGCTAAATGAACACATTCCCTACTTCATGAGTGCATACTATGTGACATTCAAAGAATTCTTCCCCGGCTGTCTAATCTCATATTCTGAGGTAGAGGATGACATTTTCAAGTCCGTCCCTTACATGCTACCGAGGTCACAAACCCATTACTCTTCGTGTGGGGAGGACCTTGGGTGCAGCACCCTTAAACGCTTGGGCAGTGCACCCTTTAAAATCCTTTCAAGGGGTTCACGACATATCACTCAACTGTGTATTGACAACTCACCTCTAAGTGATTGGGCTTTGGATCAAATAATGCGCATCATGCACACAGTGACAGTGCTCTCAATTTTCAGTTGTAATTGCCTCTCGGATGTTGCCCTGTGGTGCTGTCTCCGTCCCTGGATAACTCATTTAAATCTGAGAGACTGCCTGCACTTTAATAATGATGCACTTCAGGCCATTGTTCAATGTGCCCCCAGTCTACAGGAACTAAGGCTTCAGGTGAGAATGGTCTAGCTCTGTAGTGTGTGATGCACGACTTTTTAAACGCTAAGCGATATCAGAGGGTAGAGGACGATAAAATCATCGAATTTTATGTCTTTTTGTCAGGCAACTGCAGAGTAAACGCGCACTTACGAGTACGCTCGCCCTTAAGCATACAAGTAAGCCAGTGGAGAGCCTAAATTGTCCCGAAGATAATACACATTTGATGGTATCACAATATGCCAGTGGAACGTTCATCCCATCGACAGCAGGGTCGAATCCTAAGCGGTAGTAAAATATTGATTGCTGATTTTAACCACAGATTATCTCCGAAGCCTGGACATGTCTAGAGCACTAAATGTGCGGTCTTTAAATAATATCCTGTTGTAAATTATCCTGATGTCGAAGGCAGCAAATACGAAGTAATAGAAACCTGGAAATCACAAATTATTGAATTACAGTATTGTGCATCTGTGCATCCACTATGACCGCGCAACTCTGCCGTTTAGAAAATATGAATATTTTGACAGGAAAGATGGCTCATAGCAGGGTCTACGAGACCCTGTGTGGTCTTCTGTCTTATAAAAATTAACAATGTATGGTGAGTAAAATGGTAAAGACCCATCAGAAAATGCCCGGCAAAATGATGTAAAATTTTTGATATTCTGGTCATAGTTAATTAGACGTTTTATTAGTCACAGAGTTCCACACTAGTGCCACAGGTATTCGCTGATTATTTAAACAATCTTGTGCGAAGAGTTGGCAAAGTTCCCTTAGTTTTTTCAGCAAGGATTATTTTTTATCTCTGGAAAATTCTCTTTGTCTCGAAAATTGTTATAAATCAAGAGGATTTTTGTAACGCTCATAATAGTCTTTGCTTAAAGATTGGAGCAACTGTGAGCGAAATGATTTCCATTGAGAGTTGTGCAGCATTATTGTAGCTTCAATAATCTGATCTCGTAATGAACTACCAACAGCTTATATTCTTAGAGATCTTGAAAGATTTGGTACGGTATGCGAGACAGGCTATCGGGTTTCTTTTTAATGTTCGATCAATTTTTTTTAAATCACCAAAGCGTCTTCCTTTTGCCTCCTTAGTACGACGTTTTTACAATGAACGTTCCCCTTCTTATCCCATTCACGATTTTCTATTCGAAGCACGAACAAAAGACTGCAAATTTTTAATGAGCAAGTTAGTCAAATTCACATTAGCTGATTTGATTAATAATGGTCACCAATCAAGCAACCGATCGTGTAATCTTCTACATAGCTGATCTCTTACTTAAGAATGGGTTCGCAGTGAAGGCTCAGTTGCCTCCGGCTCACCCCGTCAATGTCACAGCTAAACTGCATGACGACTCTGACCATTATAATCTAAAGTTCTTGAAATGCAAGATTACTGGCACTCGATGGGAAATGGTACTTTTATTTGCTACGTGCAAATTCAATCATCAACTTGACTGTAAAAAGTGTATTTATTTCTTGATGGAGATCAAAACACTGAACAGTCTTTCTTATTCATCTGATTACCGAATGTTCCTTGCTCTTGTGATTAAGTCAGTTTTGCAGCCTTGGTTGTGGTTAAGAGACACGTAGGCTCATTAAAAACCCGTTTTAAAGGCTTTTCACTACTGCCATAGATCAAGAGTCACCAGACAATAAACGCTAGATGCAAATAAACATTTTTTCTTTTAGCCATGAGCACAAATATAACTGGCAGCGACAGAGAGATTCAGAGTCGTATTGTTGACAAGCTCTCCGTTAAAGTCGAGTAGCACGCTAAAAAATCGAATTCCGTTTACGGGTGTTGTTCAATGAATTTCGGTGTTAGTAGAATACCTGTCACCACTGTTATGTTAGATTTATAAAAATTGCAGAGCATGCACCACTTGAGAGATAAAGAAGTAAGTACAAGTCGCCAATGCTTCTTGCGAGCCGTTAAAAACCAGGTTTTTCTAGCAGGAGTTTTGTCACACATGGGACTCTTAAGTAACATCATGCGATTTTCTAAAAGTATTAATTTTTTGTCGTTTTAGGTCTACCATTTATCGGACCTGGCATTAGATTCTTTCGAAGCTCGAAGCCACTTCAACCTTCGTGTTCTTTGGCTTTGTTACTGCTCTGATCTGACTATTATAGGCGTTACCAAGTTAGCAGCTGCCCTTCCTGGACTTCAGGAACTACGCTTAATTGGCTGTTCTAAGCTGAACGACGCATCAGTCGACCTTATTTGTAAATGTATGAAGTACCTCCAGGTGCTGGATCTATCCTCAAATAACCTCATCACTGACTCAGCGTTGGCTTCTATTGCAGATGGATTAAGACAATTAGAAGAGCTTCATCTGGATCGGTAACTACTGATTTCACATATATTCAGAAACTTTACTCCAGGGAAATGATTCCGAGTAACATTTATTGTCTTTTCTCTGAGAGATGTGCAATTCGCATAAATTTTTGGGTATTTAAAATTCCAATCATTCATGGACGCCGTAATGTTTTTCAAATAGTTGACATTTTTACCAAGTAAAATGCCAGACATGTGCTATTCATAGTCCCAGATGTAATCTAGACATATCAAGCTACCTTCAGCAGACTTCTTCACATATGATTATTAAAATCTCCGAGCTGAAAACCCGGAAGACATGTAAATGTACACCAAACCCGAAGTGCACACAAAAGAATACCATTTTAGTGAGATAACGAGTTAAACATCGAATGCATAGGTCAAATCAGAACCCTCAGTAGTCCGCCAGTACCACCCGAATCACACTAAGCATTCCTAGTTCTTGGTCCAACATCTATCTGTGAAAGGCGTGGTTACTGAAGAGGATTTCCATGTGATTTTGCTCAAACTGACAGTTTACTTTTTCTTATTCGCAATCCTGCCTCTGATTTGCAAGTGCTCTCGTTCAGGCTTTAATGGGGTTATTGCAATTACCAGCGTTTAAAATATCGGGTATCTTTTCTTCACTTCTTTTAGGAGTCTAACAACTTAATGTGCTCAAAAACTTAGTTCACTTACTCGATGGCTTTGGGATCTCCAGTTTGCTCTTTTTAAAAGCATGAACTTTAAATTGAAAACGTGCTATGGCGAAAATTGGACAAGTTGTCATTGAGTATGCACCTTTGAGAACCTCGTAGACAGCGAGATCAAATGTTGTTTCGATTAGATCTAATGGTGCAGTTATAATACAGACCAACAATGCCTACCTATTACATTTTTTCCCTGTAAAATGCCGAATTGTTTAAGTGAGCTTCTGCGGTCTTTGAATGCTCATTATTTACAGACAAGTTCAAAAACATTTGCTCCATTTAAACAGTTAAAATTTGATGACACAAATGAGTAAAAACATTAATTAACTCTTTGAAATTCTTGTAAAATCCTTTTTCGACTAATATGAGTTTGCTTTAGAAAAGTTTCACTAACGGATCTACACTTTTTAATATACAGGTGCAATTCATTATCGGATGGTGGGATAAAATCTGTAAGTAACGTCCGTGGCCTAAGGGTTCTGACACTTCGCTGGTGCAGCGGATTGGGAGATGAATGCCTTCAGTACCTAACCAACCTTACCTGTTTGCGCTTTCTTAGCCTTGCAGGTATGTAAGACTTCAGATATGATTGCTGGTTTCTTTTGAGATGAAGTACTGTTTGTTTTTTTAGGTTGCAAAACACTTACGACAGACGGCTTCATTGTTCTAACTGCGATGAAACGTTTACGACACCTCGAAATCACAAACACACAGAGTCCCTGCAAAACCAAGCTTTACTTATCCAAACTAATGAGTGGTTGTGTGATTACGGACTGACTACGTCTATATTAATTGGTACAGTTCAAACTTGCACTGACTACTTGTGCTTTTGCACTGCAATAAATCAGCTGACCTGAGATCGCTTCTAAGATAATATTAAACTACCTATCTCCCCATAACACATTACTATTTCCAATTTCGAAATTTAGTAAAAAGGTGAAAGTTGCATATTTAATCCAAGTTTCTGTTAGTAATTTCTCTCAAAATTGAGTGAGTAGACGTTTAGTTGCCGCTGTCATGACCTGCAATTTCAAAAATGGTAAAACTCATTATATTTTTTTTCAAAATATACTAACAGAGTTTGCGGCGTTTTATCATTAAATGATTGATTATCAGATTTATGCTTCGTGCAGTGGGTTGCTTAAAATATTTGCGTGGCCTTTGACTTCGAGCATCATCATCAGTCCTTTAGTAAATCCCGTTGATGGCCATTCAATAATTCACGAATTTGATCAGTTTAACTTGGCAATATCAAATGGTATTTGCGACACCCAAACTAAGGTCTAAAAGCCAACTTCAGTGAGGTCTTCTGTAAATAAGGAAAAAGTCACTTATTGTAAATTATTAAGTCGTTTAACAAACGGATTATAAGTCAAAACAAACCAGCGCTTGTCTAATCAAAATTAAATTTAGAAGTATACTCTAATAATCGTAGACTCAATCAGTTTGTAGGAGAAGAGGGTAATTCTGCTGTTTATAAAAATTATGTACTAATAAAGAATGACCTAAGAACATTAATCAGAAACTGAATCCCAAAAATTCAACTCACAAATTCAGGAAAACCAAACGGAAGCAATTATTCGTGGATTTATTTCTGGGAAAGTGCTTTGCGTAGTACTGAAGGGACAAATTATTTTGAGATAGTAGGTTAAGCAAATGTTATTTGATTTCGCGCCTCACCCAGCAAATTATGAGGAGACAAATATTACTCATGATCCTTTAAGTAAAGGTCCCTGACTCTGCATTAAGAATTGCTGTTTATTTATCGGTTTCTTATCATTAGCATCATTCCAGACTTTAGGCATTCATTTTTGATTTAAGTATTTATGCCACCGTAAAAGTAGCAATAAGAGTAAAACAAACTACGAGTCAAAATAACTGTGAGTCCATAGACCACAAGGCGGATTAAGTTAAAAGTTTGTGAATGAAAACATCTCATGCGTGCCATGAACGCATTTGATTTTTTATCCCAATACTGGTAATACTTTCAGAAGTAACCTTTACAAAGGGCAATCAGCCCTAGCTCTAATTGGTGGTTACTTTATACCATTTGTAAGTAAGTTATAGGGGTGATGTGGGCCCCAGCAAGTTATCATTAAAAACAAATATTTTCAAACAAAGTTTCCGCCTTAATAAAATTTATATCAAGCGGCTGGAAGTACATGGTTAACATTTATTCAACAACGAAACTGTTGTGGGCCCCAGCATATGGTCTAGAATCACGGCGGATCCACTGAATTAATCCTGGCCCGATTATGCTTTCCTGATACCCGCGATGAAGTAAAAGGCCGGAAAGGACGTGGACACGACCGTTTCCTTCAGAGGTCAACGGCGTTGGTGTCACTGTGTGGTGTGAGGGGATTGCACGCGTGTATTTATACCTTAGATGTGTGAGTCATACATGCGCTAACATCGAGACCAAGTTGTGAGAGTAATCTAAGATAAATATCCAAGCGAATGAGGGGCGAGTTGAGGATCCGCGAGGCTATCGACACGCTGAGAAATGGGGAACCCTGTGTCTGAGAATAGGGGAGTGAATAAACACGATTCACAACAGGGGTTAGTAACACTATATAATATTGAATTATTGGGGTAATTTGACGGCTGTGAAAATTTGTTTTGAAAATAGCAAAGTTTTTTTTATCAAAATTAGCTGAAAATTGTAAAAGTTTTCTTTTTGTGCAATTTTAAGATTTTAGTCGTAAAAATATCAGTTAAATAAAAATATATAGAACAACAGTTTCTGAAACAATCCATTTTTAAGAGCAGTAAAATGTGATTGCTTAGCAGAGGTTTGGCTATACAGAGTGTCCGTATATGTATTTACTTCTATAGTTTAGATACAATTTTCTATCTTTTCAGCTCACGACACTGCATATCCCATTTACATTAATGTATTTCAGCTTCCTGTAAGTATTCTAAAGAGGTTTTAGCCATGAATTTGATATTTCACGAAATCGTAGACTCAACAAACATTAATAAAATACAAATGTACGTTTTAAATTTTAATTTCGAATAATAAATGACACAGGTCTTAAAATAATAATTTTAGGAAAAGCGTTATAATCCAGGTGAAGTGTTTTAGAAATCTACCACAGACCAACTAAGTGTAATGTTCCTACTTGTGTTATTAAAATTATCGAGCACTACATTTATTTTCATTAAAATTTTTAAGCTTCTAACAACATTTTATTCTAGAGAATGGATTTAACTAGGTTCACTGTTGACAACGGACCGAACTAATCCCTTTAACTGAGGACAATTAAACAATAATGACTGAAAAGTATGGAATTTGGAATGTTAAAATATCTGGATACAAATTAAAAACCGGGTGTAGGCTCTAAAATCATAGTGCCAAGTGTTATAGTTAATGATTGGTATTTGTGTTTGCTTTTCAGTATTTCTATCAGCTCTTCTCTGTCATTTCATTAATAACCATGGAAAATGACCTTGCCATTATCGACAGCTAATTTTATTGCTATTGTATTAAAATTTAAAAGGTATGTTCTAGATCCAAGAGCACTGACAGTGTAGGTGTGTTAAACTAACTGAAATGGCTTCATAATAATAAAAATCACAATAAGACTAAGTTCTCACGTAAATTTGGTAAAAGGCAAACATTATTACAAGAATGTGCCACAACATGGATATAACAGCCTGAATTTACAATTAAAAAATGATTAAATTTTTTAAAGCAACATTTCGAGGGCTTTTCCCAATGTTTTCGGTTAAGAATCGAAATTGGATTATCGTTGTTTCAAATTTAGGTTTGTCGATGTGGAAAAGAGCAAAGGTTGAAAAAAATTTGCTCTATTTACCTGTTATATATTTATTTCTTCTCTCACTAGTGCTTTCGATGAAGCAACAGTATGGCAATATTCAATATTTTAATCCACTAATTTTCAACTTTTACACTATACTAACATAATGTATGTCACGAATGGTTTGAATTATTTATTTTCCTAGAACTTCCTTAAAAAAAGCAACGTAATCCCAAATTTGGCTTTGGTGCATTTTTTAAAGGCAACTATATACCTTGGGACATCCGCAATTACACATACATTTTACGCAATTAGAATCATTAAATATTTGAACACAGATACATTTCTGCTTTTTTTCGCTGTGTAAGTTAGGAATGATTGCTACTAACATTATCCTAAAAATAGTTACAAGGTGATAATCGTACAACTAATCTGATGCTTAAATGAGTCTTAAGAGTTTTTAATTCATATAATATTGTTTGAATGCTTTAAACAGCATTTGTGAAGGTCGGTGTGCTGAGAATGAGAGGTTTCTCACGTCTTGTCGGTTCTTCTCGTGCCTGAAGTTGGTTTCTAGCTTTTTTAGTGGTTTAGCCCTCGCACCAAGTGGTTTCTGTAAGTGGGTGCATACTTTTATGCCAATTTTACTTCATTTTTTCATCATACACTTGCTGCATCTAGAGAAATAAATTGACTTCCGGTCTTTCCTCTAGTGCTTCGTTCATAAATTCTAAAGGTCACCGATGGCTCTTTCTTTCACGAGCTTTGTGATTCATGTTACTTGATCCCACCAGTCGATACGAATGCTGTCTAATCTGCTGCTTTTTCATCCTTAGAGTTTTAGGCATCTTCTTCATTATCATGCCTCCCTTTGCTCATTTTATCGTTTAGCAGTAAAAAATCGTAACCTTAGATGATTTCCTTGGGTAGATTTTTAGGCTCTGGAGAGCATATTTTGCTGCTTCTGGGACACCAATTGGTAGTGTAGAATGGATTCCGTATCCAAACATTTCCTTGTATCTGCATTAGTTATTGAATTTTATGCTTGGTTTTTTGATGTTCCGTGAAAATGCCTGTGTATTCGTTGATGAATTTGGTTCCAGCAGATCTTTGAAGATCATTCTGTTTGATGTTTTTGGAAAGCAATCTTGAAATAAATCGGTCAAATGAGTATTTAATTTTACTTGAAACATATACGTGTATTAACATAGGTTATTTAAGCACTTGATTTGTTTTGTCCGAGGCAGATTGTTTCCCTAATTTTTCTTTTTAATAAGGAATAATGTTTGTCGTCGTTCCGATCAATGACCTCGTCGTCATTAAACCCAAAAAGTTCGGTATGCATATCGAGGATGTAATCGCTCATGAATTGAATTCGCGCTTCTCAAATAAGGTGAGCTCATTCCCCTTTCGGGTGCACGCATTTCATACAGGTTTTGCAGAAGGTCGGTCTCTGTATCTCACTTTGGGATATCACTCATGTTGGCGATAAATTCATTTCTCATGACGACGGTTCGTATCAGGTTGCTGGTAGTGTTGTTGAATTCCACCATAATGTCTGTCTAGTGTCTTTCCGTTTTATTTGTTTCCGGCCTTCAATCGACGAGATCATTGTTGGGACCGTGAAAAGTTGCACTCGAGATGGTCTTCATATTTCTTTGTACTTTTTTGATGACATTTTTATTCCAGCCGACAAACTAAGGCACCCATCGAAGTTGTAAGTGTGGTCGTTGTCGTTCAACCACGCTTTTCTAAGTGATTTTGAACAACAATCGTGGATTTGGCAATACGAAGATGATAGAGGTTCGGCAGATCTAAGAATTGAAAAAAACGATGTGATAAGGTTTGTGGAATAACGCTTTCTTTTCATTTGAAACATTTTTCGAATCCCAATATTTTGGCGTTACCAATGTAAGGTATTTTTCTTCAAATTAACTCCTACATTTAGCTAAATTTTTGTGTGTCAGCTTTCTATTTGTATATTAAAACAAATAACAGCAACTTATAAAACCAAATTAGCGTTTAAAGTTGAGGAGATGATACAAAAAAACCTTGTAAATTATCCAGACAATTCAGCACGTTTTGGATTGTGTTGTTTTTGAGGTACCACAAGGTTAATCGGAAATGTTTCATGATGGTAACTTCCAGTAGTTCGGACTAGCTGAGGCATTCTTTTTTGCAACGACAGACTTTAAATGCAAGTTTGTTGACTTGTGCCTGTTTTTATTGGTGCGTTCGCGGTTGCCAGTCGTGTAATTGGGTGGTTTCGTCAATTCATTCTTGTATAAGATGGGGTCTGACGAGAAGTCACGACCGGGTACGTTGAGCTGGATGATCCTGTTACCCATCGGCATCAGAAAAACTCGTCTTAAACTATGCTGTTGTTTGACAGACAGTAGCCCCGTTTTTTCGGCCTTCATAAGTGGACCTTATCATGGTCTTCATGACTATGCAGTGGCTTGTGTGTTAAATTGATGGCATCAATCGACCTAACACTTGTGGACGACTGTAATGCAAGCAACTTCAACTGCTAAGGTCTAGTTCCTAAACTGTAATACCGATGTAATATCGTTTATTAATTTGAAATTGTAGCTTTAAATTCCCGGCGGTTATTTTGTTACCACTCTCAGTTACTCCATTTCCAGATTTCAAGTAGAAGGAGAAATTTGGCAAGACCCGAATCCGGACGCAGAGAAAGAACAATGCGCCAGCATTTCACTCCCACCCTCCATCGGAGATAAGTCCCCATATATTATCTTAGTAAGACTTCTGTGAATTCGCTTGACTTGTGTTATAAATAATTTATTTCTTAATAGTTGACCAAGGACCTCACTTGTTAGTCAAGTGATAAATAAAGTTCCTGTCGGCTCACTTTCTTTCTATGCACCGTGAAACAACATGCCGAAGAAACTGTGAAGATGAATAAAGTGTGGGCGCAAAACAAGGAGCTGACTCCTATAGCTTTTACAGCATGATCGCTTAAAATAGGAAGCGCTTGTGATTTACTAAGCGAACTCCTGCTCTGAGTTATCTCATGACCGGATGCACAAGTCTCTTTCGTGGTTTAGGTTTAGAAATACGTGTTTGTGTTTTATGTGTGCAGAAATAAAGCAGTGTATTCAGTGGTTGTGAACAGTCCAAGTGTCTAGCTAAATATCCACATCAATTTTGTTCTTTCCTTCACGTTTTGTTCATCCTTAGCAGGTACTAATTGATTTTCCTTAGGTTCCCAAATCCCACAACTTTTCACTAACGCTTACGTATCTAATGCCATTTCGAGGCACACGTTTCCAGCCCTACTTTCGCATTCTTTTTTTATCGATGGAATCGCTGGTTTATCGCTAATGGATACAATGGCACAGCATGCCTCATTCATTACATTTAGACGTATATGACACCTTTACAGAGAAATATCCTTAGGCGGTTGTTTCTTGTAGCCTGATGAAACTGAATCCTCTGAAAGTATCTTTTGAAGTTCAATTTATGTTTTCCCATTTCAGGGATCGATCGTGTCTGATGGCCTTGGCGTTACTTGTTGGTGGATGGGCTGAATCCATTTACTGTGGATAATGTATACACTTCCTTTCTACATTCACGCCTTTTGATTTGAATCCGGGGGTCCCGTGATGTGTTGTGCAAACCGTGTAACCGTGCTTCACGAAAAATGCGACAAGTGTTGCCCCGTTTTTATAATCCAAGTAATCGTAAATATGAATGACTAGGTTGTATTGCACTCCGTATAGTTCCATCAGGTACGAGAGTGCCATGTGGAGGAGATACCCAAAATCTGTAGCAAACCGCGAAGTAATTTTACAGTGAAGGAAACTTCAATTCATTGCAATTGAACGCATGTGCTATAGCCTTTGGGAAGAATTAAAAGTAGTGGGTACCTACAGTAGAAGTCGGTATGGATCGACATGGGATTGTCGTTGCCGAGTTCCCCGTCTACAGTTTCGTCGATGCTCAGTCTGTTCCACTCACGCTCTAAGGCAAGAGACTTCCAAAAAATTGCAACTCATGATCATCGTTCCTACAGCTCTCTCCGAGGCATTAGCTGCTTTTAGACGAGACCCTGGTCCATCCCAAGCTAACACTGAAGCCAGAATCTGCTAATAGTAGCCATGTGCCCTTTAATTGTTGCCAGTAATCTCAATCTGTGGAACTGGTGGGCGCGTTGAAACTAACTAGTTATGGGTTTGGAGGTACCCGTTTTCGACGGAATCGGAAATTCGCCCTTGTGCATATCTCGCCAGAACCGGGTTTTGGATTACAGCGCACATGAACCACAATGGTTTAGATAAGTAATGTGGTTATCACCAGGGCCGGGGGAATGATCAGCGAATCGGAGCCTGTATAATGGCTTGTGTAGTGGACCCGCTCCGTGATTTTACCTCGAAAAGTGCGCCCGGGCGAAAGAGAATGGCCCAGACTTTTGTAAAAGGCTATCTGGCGACGAACGACAGCTGAAATCGGAATTAGAACACAAAGGAGAATCGATTTATGTGCTGTTTACGGTAGTCCATGCTGTACTTCTACCGTCTTAACGAACGAAGCCTAGAAACCACAAATTAAACTTCGTCTAAGCTAAACATGCCGCGAATTTCAGATCGACTAAAACTGCCTGTGAGGGAAAACAAACACTTGTCGGCAAATCCAACAATGTACGGAGGTCAAGGATGTATCAACTCATTCTCGCACCGGCTCGGTTAAAGACCCTTTTAAAACAATCGCCGAGGTACGGCGAGACGCCTACTTGAAAAGCAGACAAAAGACCCATTTTGTGTGCAAGCTCGGTTCTTAAATTTATGTAAAGAATTCCTGGAACATTGCGTCTGGTTACCGTACCCAAATACTCAAACACTCGAAGATATGGTGTGACTTTCACGTGTTTTATCGAAAAATGTATTTACAGAATCAAAACCATAATTCAAAAAAGGGTTACGATGTTCCAGATTCAGTGTTGCGATTTGGCGTCTGCTTGTTGAACTTAGGACCACCATATGTAACACCACGCTGACCGCGGTACTGACCTCCGCCACCTCTACGTCCTCTAAAACCGCCACCACGAAAAGAAACACCAATACGATGAGCAGCGGGCCCGAACGTATCAAAATTATGTTTCCTATCCTCTCGACGAGAGTGGCGATTGACGATACTACAAACGATAATTATGTGAATTAAAGCGACAAACCCCTGTGCGCGATCCATCAGCTCAGAACTTAAGGTGTCAAAAAAGGACTTGCTGCTATCGTAGGCGTCATCTTTGCCAGTTTCTTTTTCTTCGCCAGGCTCAGAGCCAGTACTTCTGCTCTATAATAAACGGTCATGAATGAATTTTGGTCCAACTACCGAAGCTATATCAATCTTCTCCAACACCTCAGCCAGTTCGGCGTTTGCCTTCTCCATATCATATTCTTCCTTAAAATCGACGTTTACGGCCCTTGATTTGCTGGACGGACCCCAGTGCCGCTGTTTTTGGCTATAACCTCCGCGCGAACCAGATGGTTGACTAGAGATTGCAGTCCCAGAAGTTCCAGGGCCGCGACCTTCGTCATAAGAGTCATTATGTGGTCTGGAGCCGTGGCGCTGGTTATTACTATAAGTGGGTCTAAACCCACGATTACTTTGGACTCCACGAGATTTACTTCCTGTTGCTTTTCCACCGTCTTCCGTTTTGGTCGGCGTAGGGCTGATACTTGAAGGCACTTTAGCAACAACTTCTTTCTTTGATGTAGTAGCAGTGGTGGTGGTGCTGCTGGTGGCGTTAGTAGTAGAAGCACGATCTCCTTCTCCACTTAATCTACCTCCTAACGATCCCCACGGATTTAATGGAATGTCAGCCAGAAGGTCAGCGGGTGGTTTCGGCGACATAAAGTTGGGGAATACTGGTGCTGACGGACGTTCCATCGATGAAATGGGAGGTTCGGATTTCGGAACTCCAGAGAACACAGAATTTCTACCCCATAAGTCATCTGAAATAACCCCAACCGAAATGATTGTATGTATAGATGGCAAGTAACTGACCTAAAAAGACAACCAACCTGGACCATCTATGTCACCTTGTGGCTTCGACTTAGAAACCGGGCTGTGCTAGAAATCGAACGTCAAATAAATTTTTTGAACCAACCTCAAGCTCAGCACTAACAATGGAGGGGTCATCGTCAAGATAAAGAGGTGGAATTATTTGTAAATCCACTAAGTCCCGGCCGCGAAAAGCGATATGCTCATACACTTCGCTTCGAGGACCAACTGGGCGTTCACAAGGCCTGTCTTCAGTACCAAATGACATAACTAAATTTTAAATAGAGGAGTACGAACGTACCCTTGGAGAGTGTTAATACAAGGTCATTGTTCTCATCCGTGCGAAGAGAAAACAGGTTCCCTTCGTAACGTATTTTTGCCTTTGAGATAATCCGAATGCGACAGCCCACAAATGATGACTCCAGAGTCGACATTAAATAATTGGTTTTACAAAAAAAGGTCACCGAGATACGACGAAGACAACCCGAAGCTATCCAACCAATAACAGTAGTACATATGA